CCCAGCACTGTGCCCCCTACACCGACACAACCTTCCGTCGTAAATAACGGTCCAAAGTATAACATTTCTTCTTGACAACTTTGATATTCGGTCTTGAGTCAACAAATTCACGACGTATAATCTTTAAAAATAATCAATGAACCTTACTATCCTTTTAATGCATTTACCCCCACAATCTCTTACCAACAAAACAGACTGGATATCGTTTTAGATGATAATATCTGTCTTTGATGGTTAAACCCTTGGGATCTCTCAACCATGTAGCCAACTGTCCCAACTGTAAGAAGCGAAAGTTAAAAAATATATAAGCTTAAAATAAAAACAAAGTGTCAATACAAGCTTGAAAAGCAAATGGATAATTGGTTAAGCAATATAATTTAACACTGTATCCCCCAATATCAAAAAAAGCCTTTACTTTAAAGTCCTAAAACACTAAAGCTTTTATACCCGGTTTTATAGTAAGCTGCCCTGCTGGCAGGGTCTCCATTTAATTTCTCCCGAGCGAGACAAAGAAAGGAGACTCTGCAGAAGTCGTGTAGTATTTTATTTCTTTGCTCGGGAGAAATTAAAAGAAGACTCTGCCAGCAGAGTCAGTCATCTTAAAAAGTTATCTTGATCATCAGTTGGAGCCAAAACTTCGTCGGTACAAACTCCGAGACATGCACTAAACTACCTCCAAAATATGCATATAATTCATGGAGAGTAACTTCAATCAGAAATACCACTAAGACAGCGAAACAGAGAAACAAAATACAAATAAAAATGGCCCACCTGTTCTCGTTCAACATTGCACATGTTTATATTTTTTGAGACCAGTCTTATTATGCTGCTTGGAGGTCAGTGACAAAACTTACCCTCTCGGGTAACATTAGAGTGAGTTTTGGTTCGTCGCTGACCAAAAGGAACGTAGGCTATGTGTATAAGATTCGAGATTTGATCACTTTGAAATAATCATGAATGTCTATTTTATATATGTAGTTAACACATCAGAGTAGGTGGTCTAGATCATGTTCATATTATATCTGTTAAAATCATTTGGCTAAAAAGTTGGTTTTTTTTGTTTTGTTTTGTTATTATTAACAATGTAACACGGCCCAGTTTTCCTCTGCCAGATGATAAATTTCTCAGAACTGCAGTGTTTCCGAGAAAAGGCCTATGGTTCTATCGTTGATAAAAAGTCAAACGAATAAATATGCTTCTTGTTAGAGCGTTTTGGTTCGGAATACTTCTTTCTGAGATTGACAACGTTGTGGGGTATTATAGTTATAGACTTCTAAGAGGTGAGTATTTACCGTATGCATTGCACTGATGAAAACGAAACGAAATATTCACCGAGTACACTTCCGGGCTTGGGCGTTGAATGAAGCATTTGTTTTGATACCGGTTTGGTTTATAAAGTTGAAGGGCAATAAAAATTGCTTGGTTCTCATAGAATATGACAGTGGTTAAAAATTGTATTTTCGATGAACTGCTCAACAACATCAATGAGCAATTCCGTTATTTAGCATCAATTGTCGGGCAATAATTGTCATTTATATAGATCAGTGAGGAAAAAGGCGGAAATGTAGTCGTCATCCACAGATAGCCCAAGCAGCTGTAACTGTCATGAACCGTATCTACGGCATTCAAACATTATTGAATGGAACTGTTTGTTTGTTTGTCTGTTCAGGTTCGTTTGTTTGTTTGTTTGTTTGTTTGTTTGTTTGTTCGCTCGTTCGTTTGTTTGTTCGTTTGTTTGTATGTTCGTTTGTTTGTTTGTTTGTTTGTTTGTTTGTTTGTTTGTTTGTTTGTTTGTGTTGTTCGTTTGGATTCAGTTATTAGCAGTCAAGATTGCAGTCTATCATTATTCTTCTAAGGGAAAGTCTTTTTTATTGGAAGCTTATTAGTAAACTTTTTAAAAATAGTTTTAACCTTCCCTGCTACGGGCAAAACATGGTTCTAGCCCTTCAAGGCTCAGTAAGAAATTCATGACCCTTCGATTAGTCAACAAGGAGCTAGCTTCCGTCAAAAGTTCAACTTTTTACTGTTGCTCAGCTTCCGGATAATTTATTGAGTTTCTTGTGTTATTTAGATTTCTCGTCAAAGTCAACTCCTCTTCAACTCAATTGTTCCTATGGCGTTCCCATTCCTCCATTCACAATCGACAAATCATTTACTCGGGATGAAGAAAAGCAAGTCCTTAAGAGGTTTTATAATGAGACCTCGGGTTACAATTGGACAATACAAAGACCCGGATGGACTCCTTATGACAACGGTACAGAAATTGACCATTGCCATTGGGCTGGAGTCACGTGTGACAAGAAATCAGGTTACGTCATTGGGCTATGCCTCAACAAAAATAACTTGCATGGTCGCGTACCAAACTTTCTGTGGAAACTTCGAAACCTGATGTCACTTTGCTTGCCGGATAACCCTAGTTTGGAAGGAGAATTGAAAGACTTTGTTTTTCAAAACATGTCAAAGCTATTTCGAATAGATTTAGCGTTTTGCTCGTTGTCTGGTAACTTACCAAATGACCTGTTTTCAAGTTTAAAATCTCTTGTTGAAATACAACTCTGCTGTCAAATATCGAAAACAAAAATTTACGGCAGCATTCCTCAGAGTATCACCGACTTGAAAGAATTAAGAGTGCTTAGTATTGGTGAGAATGGCCTTAGTGGCCCCATACCTCAGACAATGGGAAAACTTACAAAAGTTTGGTTTTTAGATCTGGAATTCATGCCGTCGCTCTCCGGAAACATCAATGACTTCTTTGGAATGAAGTCACTGATATATATGCATTTGACACATGCCGGAATATACGGGGAATTCCCTGACAACTTTGGGTCATACTTTCCTCAAATGAAAGAATGCCAATTGGGAAATAACTCAATCCATAGTTTTATTCCTCCCAGTGTAAACAAAATGAAAAATTTAACAAAGCTGATTTTGCGTGGAAATGGTCTTCATGGGAAAATCCCAAAGGAGCTTGGTGAGTTGCCTTCACTCCGGATTCTGGATTTATCTTATAACCCACAACTGCAAGAAATGGAGTTAGAGCTAAATTTTCACGATTCTACGAAGCTTGAAATTTTTGTGCTGCGAAACAACCCAAGCATAACTATGCTTTTTGAGGATCTCGTWTCTAAACTCGTGCCAAAGCCGGATCTCGAACAAAATCCTAGTCCTTTGCGAGTTTTAGACATAAGCTATTGCAATTTTACAGGGACCATTTCGCCTATGATTTGGACCTTTTCCAATCTTATTGAACTAAATTTAAAGCATAACAGAATTTCTGGTAGAATTCCAGCAGTTATAGATGATTTGATGTTTCTATCGTATGCCGACTTCTCGGAGAATCCGAAGCTTAAAGGGGCTATACCAAACGACGTTGTCCTTCTTCAATCGTTAAGAGTCTTCGACATAAGTGGCAACCYCTTAATGACAGCCCCAGTTGGAAGTATCAATCAGACCAACGGAATTATTCAGAAAATCATGCGCATTGATCCAAATTCCCGGATAAAGAGAGACAATTATAACTGTCCTTTGGTGAAGCTGCTGTCAAACGACGGCAGAATACTCCTTGATCCAGGCTACTACTACAAAAAGTTCTGCGTTTGTGAAGATGGCTTTTTTGGGTATCTTGGTCATTGCGAAAAATGTATTTCAGGTGGTAGTTGCTCAAGTAAAGCCTTACAATCCACAGATCCCAGGATTTCTTTGGACATTCATAAAGGGCATTGGCCAAGTCCGTCACCGGATAACGTCTTGCATTTGATTCGCTGTCCTGGAAGATTGGATATTGCTGGAGAACACTTGGCTTGCAACCCGAAAGGAGAATGTAAATGCTGGGTAAACACAAGCACTCCTGACCAGCGCACAGTTTGCGATACGTCGTGTATATGTCATGCTGAAAATACAGGCAGAGTTTGTTCAAAGTGTGCAAAAAACTACTTCAAAAATGGGTACATGTGTACAGAATGCTTCACACCTTCCCTATCGTGCTTCGTTTTGGTCCCCTTTTACATCATTTTTCTTTTGGCATTGTGGGGCCTAACTAAGTTCTTCCCTGAACACATCAAAGTCAAAATCTCGATCGCAGTAACAGAGTTCAGCATCTTACTCACATTGCGGGCCTTCGAGGTGATTTCCGGCTGGATTTTTGAAGTTAGTATTTTGGTGGTGGTGTTCTACGTTGTTGGAATAATGAAGAATACAAGAGCCACTGTGACTATGTTTGTTTTTCACTTTCAAGTTCTCGACGCCATAATCTCTGAAACAGAAACTCCCTTTCCTCCGTTCGTTTACAGTATTCAACATTACATGAGTAGTATCTTCAACCTCAACTTCCTTGGAATCTCTTGCAGTATCCATATGTTGTTTACTCCGTTAGGGAAATACTTGGTTGTCTTTCTTTTCCCCTTGGGATGTTTGTCATTAATTTGGATTTACTACGGCATTAGGTGGGCGCTGTTTACGACGATTCTTTGTAGAAGTGGGGAACAGACAGAGCAGCAACCACCGGCTCTTGAGCAAATAAGGTTCCAGTGCCTGAAAGTTAGCATAACTTGCTTGATTTTAACATATTTCCCAGTCATGAAGCACACACTAGCAGTTATTTCACCTTGTGAATATGACCAAGACACGGCTGGCTCCTTCATGCGATATACACAGTGGATAAGATGTGACACCAGTGATAGTACCTACGAAACTCTCCAAGTCCTTGGGTGTATGGCTATTATCATTTACGGCGTATTTGAGCCTCTTGCTTTGTTGAAACTTTTACGCAGGTGGAAAAAGTCACCACTGGAAAAGAAGAAATACTATGATTCCTGGTTGGGCTCCATCTACCTTCCTTACAAAGACGAAGTCCGGGAGTACTTCGAGGTCTTGAAGTTGTACAGGAAGTTTTTGATCGCGTTTTTATTAACTTTTATTCCAAACACAACTTCAATTCAAACCTTTACCATAGCCTTGGTTCTGATGATAGCCGTGATTTACCAGATAATAGTCGAGCCGTATGCAGAAGCCAAAGACAAGAATTACAATTTTGAAAATGTTTTGGAGGTATTGTCTCTGATTACCCTCCAACAGTCCGTGATATTATTGAGATTTGCATCCTATGACTCTGAAATGAGTTACGGTATGATCTTGATCGTTTTAGTTGTAAATGCTTTCGTCCTAATAGCATTTATGGTGGCCTGGGTTTTGATTAAGGTATATTCCACGAGCAACGATGAAAGTTCAAATGGAAGTGGCGACCCACAACCTCAGGTATGTCCCGCGGGCATCCCGCCCAACGATGAACGTTCGCCGCTGCTGCAGTCAAATCGAAGTGGCGACCCACAACATCAGTATAGTTCCATTTAGAAAAAAACGCATAAACGTCTCATCTTAACAAAGGGGTAAATTGGAATTTGAAGACAGCTTTGGAATGATACATAGCATTTGATACACTGGCTGAAAAATATAATGGAAAATATCATCTTTGAAAGCAGAATAATATTTTTAAAAACCTCCCGAGTCCACTGGGGCTAGAATTTTGATAACATTTAGTTAAAAAAAACAGATTGGGGCTGTAGTGAGCAGATTTCGTATACAGAACAAGATACACCATGCTTCTCGCATTGAGGATACCCCAGTTTCGAGTTCTTTTTGCTCAGCCTTAGTCTCGGTTTTGCGTCACAATATTTAGCTATTCATCCTAAAGTCCATCCCTACGTCCTCGTCGTGGGAGGTGGTAATGGGTAAAGCCGGCTAACAAGGCTCTGGCAATGTGCATGGGGCCAGCAACCCCATCACATAGAGTACTTATTGCTACGGAAACTAACACAAAAGATAACCATATGTTAAGCCCTACGTGCCACAGAGGCATAAAGGATAATGACGATTCATTAAAAACACGTGGAATCTTAATCAAAACGTATTGTTCCGTAGTACGTACATTCCTTACTATACAATGGACCTCAGTGAAAGAAAAGAACGTGTTTGTACACAATCGAGGCTGACTGGTGCAAAGGCGAACTCGAAATGGGGGTATTCTATCGCGTCTCTTACTGACGGGCAGGCCCATATCAGCATATCTTTAATAATCCAATGTACAGACTAAAAGATTTGTAGACTAGGAAAGTAGGGATACTAAAAACTACAATTAAACCGCCAACCGGTTAGCTCAGTTGGTTAAACAACGGACTTTCTTGCGGGAGGTCGTGGTTCGAGTCCCTGCCGGACCAACACTCAGGATCTTAAAATAACTGAGAAAGTGCTGCCTTTGTAATTACATCTTCAAATGGTTAGACTTTCAAGTGGCTCGGATGACCACTTTAAATGGCGGTCCCGTCTCTCCACACTCATCATTATTAACTAAAATAGGAGGGACGTAAAAGAACCACTGAGGACGTAAAGAAACCCCGGCAGTGACCACCCTCAGTGCCTACACCTCATACTAACCATCTCTCATGCTTGTAAATTGCATAAAAAGCAATCTGTCATTCACATTTCAATGTAAAGCGCCTTTGATTATATCCATATAGAAAGGGCGCTATATTAATCATAATAAATCAATTGTAAAATTCATGAATAATTCATGAGGATACGAACCTATCCCATCTCAGTATTCAGATCACATGCATRACACTGTAAACGCCAATAAAACTCAAGTATCTAAAAGCACGGGGAGGGTTTGAAAAGACAGCAGGGAAAGGCTGGGGTTGATGAATTATTAATTAGTAAATTAACTTTCGATAAAGACTTCGTACTCAGCTAATTAGTATGCATAACGTTTGATAAAGACTTCGTACTCAGCTACTTAGTATGCATAACTTTTGATAAAGACTTCGTACTCAGCTA